TACAGTTGTAAGAAATTATACAGAGCAATGCCCAAGTGCAAATGTTTTTTCTGTTTCTCATTTATATGTAGGCTGGGAAGGGTGTAGACTAGCATGTTAGCATTATGTCATGTAAGAGTGAATGCTTGAGGCATTCTTTTGTGATGGTAATACTTGAACTTTAGCATGTGGAGTGTATTTTAGCTGCCTGTTTGTTTAATATTTTATTATGTGCTTCAGATGGTGAAGTTATTATATAGCTGAACTCTGTGTAAATGATGTAACTTCTTTTCCTTTAATCAAGTTGAATTTTTCATACAAATACTGTTGAAATTAATTATACAAATGTGAAATCTTAAATTTTGATAATGAGTAGATATTTCTATGTATGTTTTGTTTTAGGTTGTTTCACGAAGAAATCCAGAGGATGTCCAGGAGGTAACATGTTTATTCCTACAAAAATTTTATTGTATATATTTGAAAAAAATGTAATTAAATTCTTTATTGAGGAAATTGAATTATTTGTATGTTTGTCTGGAGAAAGTCCTCAACTCACAAAATAGTGGGTGAAGTGTCGTATTTCAGACCTATTAAGTATTTGTTAAATTTTAGGAGGTGTTAAGTTATATAAATAAGAATTCTTTAAGGAGTTACTTAGACCTATTAAATATTTGTTGAATTTTAGTATGTGTTAAATTATGTAAATAAGAATTTCAGGGATTATAATATTGTTCAATAATGTGATGATTTTTCTGATAACTAGCACTCATAAGATTTGAGTATTAGTTAAGGGCCCCTATTTACCTATTTCATAATCATGATGCCTATATAATAAAAAAAGGGTAAGTTTTTGGTGAAGAGTATTACTTTTGAAGGTCATAATAGTAAATTATGGGTATTTATCTACTTCCTCTTTTATGTCAAGTTGACATGTTGACATCTTGGAAAAGTGCTTTGGGTGTCCATGTTTCTTTCCAACATTTTGTAGTTAATTCTTTTGCAGACTCTTTTCCTCTCAAATGATACCAGGTTGGTATGTTTTTGCTTAAAATTGTGGAATTCTCTATTTGTAATCCTTTGTGTTTGTTATATACCTTTAGGAATCCTAAGTGAGGAGCTTGCTTCTTCTAACATTTTTTGATTTACTTTCATTTTGGTACCTGCTCATTTACACTAAGATTAGAAGGACATACTTTTTTTTTTCTTCTTCGTACCAGGGTGTTTAAAACAGATGTAAGTTGGCAGTCCTGATTCTGCAACAGTTATTTTTTTGCCTTCCCTATTGAGTTTTAATGTCTTTAGGTGGAATATGTGTTTGCTTTTTAGCCACAAGCCCCACTACTCCTTCAGTAAGGCTTGATCCATGCATTTAAGTTGTTTACTATCAGTTGCTTTTAGTGTGTGACATTTATAAAAGATTTCATGCTGTTTTCCTTAGGGGTTTAAAGATATCTCATTTTTCCCTTCCAATAGCCAAGAAGAGAACATTGTAATATTGTAATTTTAGAAGAAAAGGATGTATCTTTATTTCTCTCTTTCTGTATCTGTACACTATATCCTTCTGAAATGGCAAAGGAAGTAATTTGCACCATTGATTGAAGTACTTTTCAGTCAGTTGATTAGTATGAACGATTCTTCAGAATTATACTAATTATGTTGCATTAGTAGTCAACAGCAGGCCATTGTGCTTTTGAAAATTTACAACTCTGTTGAAGTTGAAAATGGGTTGTGTTTCCTTTGAATACATTGTCTGATTACTGTGCTGTAGTTTGTAGCTTGATGTTCCGCTTTTCCAGGGAGAATCCTGAACCAACCTATCCATGAAAATACTCTCTGCCATTTCCTAATCCATTTTTGGGGAATACCCTTTTATAATAACAACTGTTGGTGAACCATTCATCAGAAAACTCTTGTAAGTGTCCTTTAGTTAGATGATTGCATGGTCCTTTATTAGAAATGGTATAAAATCTTAAAAAAATTGTCTTCTGTTTAGCTGATTCATCATATAGAATAACCTTGAAATTATAATAACACTTCTTAGTTGCCCATGTATTTCATTTAAACATTGGAATTTTCATTTAGGATAGAACTCACCATCTAGAATATTTTTCCATATCCTGTCTTTTCACATTTTCTCTTAACTGATTCATTTATTTACTGCTTTAGAATTCAGCCAGGCTTCGAAGGTGTACTGTTAGTCTACCTAAATATAGGGCTTCGAAGGTGTACTGTTAGTCTACCTAAATATAGGGCTTAGAAGGCGTACTGTTAGTCTACCCAAATATAGGGCTAATAACATGCTATCCTTATAAAATGGGAGAAATTTTGCTGTTTTTCCATATATATAATGTACATAGGTGTTCAGACACACACACACACACACACACACACACACACACACCTTGGTGCATACTACTGATAGCAGAGTTTTTTTCTTGAGAATGCCAAAGTACTCACATGGAGTGAGTAATTGAGAATTATTCAGGATAGCTTTCTTTTTACCTTTTAAAAATTCCTCTACATTTTTATTTATTAAGAGCAGCATGGGTTAATCTCAGAGGGGACAGTAGCAGTTACTGTGGCCTCTTCAGTAGATTCTCTAGAGCACAGACACCTGCAGAAGGGTAAATGGAGATGTGCCTTCCCTCCGCACTTTTTAAAAAAAGTAACCTATACCTCTGTTTGTTTATTGGTAGTAAGTCTCACTGGTGCAGTTTGGGAAAAAAGAACTAAAATAGAACTTTTTATGTATCATATCAGAAATCTCTAACTTTCAAATCGTTTTATAAATAAAATAGTTTTGGGAAAACTGAGAATATCAGAAATGTGTCAAGGGAAAGAATAAACTCTAGAAAAGGGGAGAAAGACAATCCATAAACAAATAGTATGGTTTGCATGAAAATATTGGATGCAAGAAAATACTGTTTACAAGAAAAGATGATCCAGCAAGTTTAAAATACTATGTGAGAGTAAAAGGACAAAATTAATCGAGTTGACTGGTTTTGTTAAATACAAGAGAGGTATGGAATCATTAAGTGATATGATCTGAAAACATTTATTTCATGTAAAAAATATTTAAAGGAATGTTTTTAATGAAAATTAAGCTTCTGCTAAATTTGTAGTATATATATATATGTGTTGGGAGCCAGTCTGAACCGCCCCTTCTGATGGCACAGCCCAGACGCCCGGAAAGAAGGAACCGCAATGCCGGCCTCTGAAAGGAACATCCCCGCTATCTCTCATTATTATTATGGTGTTTGGAAATGTTATTGCTCACTTACACATCTAATTTGGAAAACCAAATTTAAAATACCCTGGGAGAAATGCCAGAGGCAAGATCCCCCTAATTCTTCCAGGTGGTAAAGATACCTTAAGACAACTGCTGGGCATAGAAGCCACGGGGCACAAATCTGCAAAGAAGTAAAAAAAAAAGCTTTTCAAAGAACGTTGCTTCTCTCTCACTTACCAACTTTACATCTCCCTGTATGGCCCCAGAAGGTGACTGGTTAGCCAGAGACGGGTAAGATTCCTCAAGGGAGGAACAACCTAAGACAGGCACAGTCACAGGGGGACCATCAGGTGAGAAATTGGGGATCAGCAGAGGTGAGGCTCAGAACCTCACTCTCCCAGTTTTGAGAGAAATCTTCTGTGCCCATAGCTGTTGTTGCCCTTGTCTCGCTTGGGTCAATACCCAGTTTATAGGCATGGATCTGACCATCTACACTTGCTTTCCTACTGCACTAAACTCTACTTTCCATCTTTATTCTGCATCACAAGATTTAAAAAGTAGATTATCTTTTATGAAAAAGTAAACTGTGTTAAACAGCTTTCTATTAGAAACTGTAATCTTTATTACTTTTACCTACTATTTCAACATTTTATTAAAAAATAATAGGAGGGGAATGCGGAGAAGATATTGGAAACAAGTATCAAGTTATAATAAACAGATTGTTTGAGTGGGTTCTAGTTCCCTCTCCCCGCCCAACTCGGCCCATAAGGAATTTCTAAATGACTCTCAGACCTGTTGGATCCTGGGGAATAATAGGACAATAAAGGACAGTCAGCGTGAATGATGGCATGTCAGAGGGCCTGGCATGATTACAGAGACTCTCCCGATAGAAAAGATCACTCCTACAGACATTATTGTAAATGGTTTAAGGAAACTCTAAGACAGACATGCCCCTGCTTCCCCCCCCTAGGAAGAGAAGTGGCCCGACTGGGCCCCTGTGCCTTCTGACTCAGTGGTCATTGTCCCCTTACCTCATCCCCCAGAGGGGCAACGCGCTTGTCTCTCCAAAACTGGGCACCTACCCAGGAATACAGAGTTTTCAGTTCCCGCAATTGCAATCAGCTTAGTCTTGCACTGCTCTGATGATACACTGTTTTGATGTTTTTCTTTAAATCTGCACGTAATGCTCTAGATCTAGAAAAATAGACTTAGCTCTATTTGTTAATCAGATGAATAGTAACCATGGCTATTTTAGAATCAATAATAAGGAAACTACAAGTAGGGCCCAGGCCAACCAGGCGTGAGGGAACAGGTCATGTTTGTTCCAAGACCACCAGGGAAGCCAAGCAAGCATAAGTGCAAAAAATTAATGATTGCTAAGGCGCCAATAGTCTAATTTCTAAAGACTGACCTTTATGTGAACATTTTTTCTGAAAGAATCAAATGATCTAATCTTTGTGAAACTGCATACTCAAAACATACATGACCTTGCTAAACTTCAATAAAACAGGCCAGGCTCAGCTTTGCTAGTGTCTGTGTCCTCATTCATTCCGTCAGTCGCTGACGCCGTTCCTCCTTCAGGGACCCCGGGACTCACCAGAGCTGGACTCTGGCATATATGATTGTGATTGGGTTAATATTTAATTGAGGAATTTTATTTAGAGTAATTTTAATAAATTTCTGCACGGTTGGTTCATTAGAGCAGTAGCTGTTATACAACTTTTTTTTTCCAGTAAGTAAGAATTCATTATTGGAGAAAGTAATTTTTGCATGTATCTTTTGGGTCTTTGTGTAGTCCAATTATAAACATCAAAACTTGCTGAAATAATGAAATTGTGCTTTTGTTCACTTTTCCATTTTGAAGATGTCTAGAAATGTCTAAGATAAAAGAAGTAAGAAGAGAGGAGGAGTGGATGGAGCCATTTTCCAGGGCTCTGGTTTCTTGCATTTCTTGAGGGTTTATATTTGCTCTTGGGTATTTCGGTTCTGCAGTCCTTGTGTTAGAAATAAGGACTGTGTGAGTGAATAAATTAGGGATGGTGAAGAAACACAGACTGTCATCGCGGGGTGGGTGGGTTGGGGGCAGGTTCTGATTCCGACTCTAACAGACTTACCTACTGGTTTATATACTATGGTATTATTATCATTATTATATTAAATTGTTAACTTTTGGCCCTTAAGTTACTCTGCCTTTATTTGAAAATCACCCCAACTGGAATAGAAATTTTGTATGCAGGTTTGTTTCCTTGAGCTACAGTCTTGAATAGCTCCCATGTGTAGTTTATAATGGTTTTAGGTATGGCATTTATTTACCTTAGGTAAGATTACTTTCCCAAGCCCATCACCCATTTTCCTCCTCAAGTGCGTGGAAGGGTAGTACCACCGTCATTTGAGCTGTTTTAAAAATATAAAAATAACATCATTTTTTCCTGTGACAGAATTATACTCATATATCAAACTTAGAAACTATAGAGAAGCAAAAAACATCAAAATTAGTATCACTTGTAATCAAATCTCCCTGTCCTGGGACCTTTTACTTTTCATGTGCTTGTTTGGCTTTCTCAGGAAGTTCCTTTTGCTTTGTCTTTTACCGGATCTATTGGTTCTTTGCTGTCAGCTTTATCTTGTTCACATCCATTTTAAAATAAAATATCTTCTTTCATCCAAGTGGCCTGTTTTGTGGCACAGCCAGCCTTCCTAAAGACCTACAGGCATACCTTGGAGATATTTGTGGTTTTGGTTCCAGACCACTGCACTAAAGCAGATATGGCAATAAAGTGAGTCAAATTAATTTTTTGGTCTCACAGTGCATATAAAAAGTTATGTTCACACTATACTGTAGTCTGTTAGCATGCAATAGCATTAAATAACAAAACAATAGCATTAAATAGCATAAAACAGCATAAATAGCATTAAAAATTTATATACCTTAAGTAAAAAATACTTTATTACTAAAAAATGCTGATCATCACCTGAGCTTTCAGTGAGTTGTTATCTCTGAACACAGATCACTGTAACAAATAAGGTAATAATGAAAATGTTTGAAATGTGAGAATTACCAAAATGTGACAGAGCCACGAAGTGAGCAAATGTTGTTGGAAAAAATGACACCAAGAGATCTGCTTGATGCAGGGTTGCCACAAACCTTCAATTTGTACAAAACGCTCTGTCAAGTGCTATAAACGAAGCACTCTGGCTCGCCCCTCATTGTGAGGGTTCCTCTTCATTCCACTGTTAGACCTCTTGTCCTGTTACAAATGCTGAGAAACCTTTCTTGATATTACCTCTCTGCTGATGACTTTCCAGATTTATGCATCTTGCTTAGTTTTGACTCTTGAACTCTAAACCTGTCTATCCTATTGGGCATCTCCATTTAGATGCCCACAAGCGTCTGAATCAAATATGTCTAAAATTGAACATTGGTCTTACCTCAAAACAACTTTTCCCTTGCTCTTAGCCTTTTATCCAATTGCAAAAGCCAAAGTTCTGGTAATTATATTTGGGATCTCTCCTTTTAAAAATTTCATCTCCAATCCCTTTCTCTCTCTTTACTTTTGCTTGTCTAATCACTACTGCCCTTCAGTCTCCTCACCTCCGATAATACTTTCTGCAGGTGCTCCTTCTGTAACACCCTTGGGCTGACTTTCTCAGTGTTCATCATGCTGTCTCGTGATGTAGTTATTGTATTGCTTTCTTCTTCCTAACTAGACTGGCAGCTCTTGGAGACAGGGACTGTGTTTCTCATTTCTTCATTCTTTGTGCGACACAGTACCTAGCACAAAGTAGGGGCATGAAAATATTTGTTTTGATGACTATTTTTGTTGAGTGAATGAAAAAAGGAAGCATCAGAGGAAGCACTTTAAATTAATCCATATTATAGTCTGACTTGTCTCCTAAGATTATAACTATATTAAAAACAGGAAACTTACTAATCATGGTAGAATTTTTGGTGGTATAACAAAGTTTAGGGAGGAATTTCTTATTTCTTAGGGAAGAAGAGTAAGTATTTTGACAAGGTCTCTTAAGTTATACTTGGATATGTGCTTGGCCTAAGATTTACTTATTATTATTATTAGCATTAGCTGTTGAGTTTGTTAGAAGTGAGGCAATTAGGTTTTTTAGAAGCAGAGGCCCCACTATACCTATGAGTGATGGAATTTAAAACTCAATTTTACTCTTATTTTGTGGAGACTGAGGGACTGAATCAGTGATAGCAAGACCATATGTCAAATCTTTTCTCTTTATAAAATGTCTTTCTAATTTAATCGAGTAAGACAAAACAGTAATTCAAACTGATTTATAAAATGTCTTTCTAATTTAATCTGAGTAAGGCGAAACAGTAATTCAAACTAACAAAGGTAAATTTACTTTCATGTATTATATGATCTAGATGACTTTTGTTTTTTTAAAAATATGCCAATTTAAATGGTATTCTGCTTAAGACTCACCCTGCCTTCAGAAATCTCATTACTACTTTAAATTGGGATTGAGATAAGATTGATGAAATATAAATGTAAATATTCTGGTCAATTACTTGCTACACAGCGATTTATTTTTAGTCTTATTTATCCTTTTAGGAAATGCTGAGTATGTACTTTATGTTTAAAAATTGTCTAAATTAACTATTTTGTGTTTATAATGCTGTTTTGGAGGTGGAATATATATTTTGACATCTGGCTCATTTCCAGGCCAATAGAATTGATTTTTATGGAGGTTAAGTCACATGTTATATGATAGAGACCTTTGTACCAGGCTGAATATTTTCCCAGTATGAAGAAAACAGTACTTGTTTAAGATGAAATTTAAAAACCAAAATAGAGCAGTTGGGGGAAGAATTTCTGCTTTATATTTTTAAAGCAAATATTATTAATTACAGACAGCTGTATTGGTTAGAATATATATATATTTGTTTGCGTTTGCACAACAATTTTGAGAACTTCAGTGAAAGATAATTTGTTGTTCAGATATCCGAACCTAAATAGGTTCACTATGAGACACACATTTTAATTTCTTCTTTCTAGATAATCGTGTGGAAGAGATACAGTGACTTTAAGAAACTACACAAAGAACTATTACAAATTCACAAAAACTTATTCCGACATTCAGAATTGTTTCCTCCATTTGCTAAAGGAATAGTGTTTGGTAAGTGATCTTTTTGGAATTGTGATTTTAAAAAGTGATGATTAACTAATTATTGTCTATATGCTGAACCTTGAAATGCTGTACTGTGACATCAGAGGCCCCTTATTAAGGTAATCCTTAGGTGATAAGAGCAGCAAGCTCTTGAAGTGGTTTTGTTACATGTTGTGGCATAGTTGCGTTAACTCGGTGCGTTTACTCCTCCCTTCCCTGAAATGACAGCGCAGTTCCAACTCCCAATTCCAACAATCAAGCAAATAAAAAACCTGTAGGAACATAAGAAAAAATACTGCATTGTTCTTACAGTTCTGAAATTTTTGGATTTACAAAAAAATAGGTTTATACTTTGCATATTTCTCTGACACCTTCCTCACAATATGAATAGTGTTGCTTGGGGCACCCAGCCTGTTCAGATACGGATCTTTTGGGATATGTTAATCATATTTCAACTGTTAGAGTCCTGGCGTTCCTGAGACCAGTCAAGTAAAAAAAATACTTGATAAGGATTTAGTTATGTATCTGTTGTAGAACAGGTGGAAAACATGGGAAAACATGAGGGATACAAATGATGACAAAGGCAACAGCCAGGAAAATGCTCAGCGACAAGACAAGCCACTTAATGTGGCTGCCCATCTCCTTGTCTGCGGTCTGCATATGTGCATGATGATTTCAAAAAACGTTTTCCTACATGTATTGTTTTGTAGCTTCCCTTTTTTAAACATACCAATTTATTGGGAATATTTCCCTGTAAAGTAGTCTTCTGGAACATGTTTTGTAATGGCAGTATGTATTGATTTACCATGATTTACATAGCAGTCAATCTTTAGATAGACCTTTGGATTGATTTTAATTAATTAAAAGCATCGGTGTGAGGGTCATTCAGATTTCAAATTATGTTTCACCTTTGCTATTTTTACTACTCGTATACAACTTCTATCAAGTGACTTGCCGTTTTGGAGTCTCTGTTTCCCTGTCTTTAAAATGCACATAATAATGTGTGGATTAAATAGGTGAAGTCTATAAAGCATTTAGCATGTCCCGTAACTAGTATTATTTTTATTATTTGTCGTTATTGTATTCTAACTGTAATATTTACTAATATTTTTACTGAAATGCTAGTATTAATAAATCTATTGTGTCTTAGGCTTAAGCTTACCTTTCTCACACCTTTTTTGTAAGCCTGGTCTCTTTCTGCCAGCTGGTTTTCTATTGGCCTCTGGCCACAGGAGGTATTGGAGGGAGGCTGGAAGGCTGGAAGAAGGAGACTTGCCTTTTCCGGTTTGCTTCCTGGTCCAGTCAGCGTGAACCCAGCAGCTTCCTCACCCTTGCAGCAGTCATTGGTTTGTGTAGCAACTCCGTTTGTGTTTTTCCCAAATCCCCAGAACTAGTCTCGTCACACCTGCTCATGACCAGCTCTTGACCCCCAGTAGGTACTGACACTGGAGTACACTCCTCAGAGGTCCCAGTTTCAGCTCCAGGGGCCGCCCCACATCTATGCTTCTGCCAATAATTCCACTCTTTTCCTTTTGTTTCCCCAGAACTAGGGATTGTAGTTCTTTCTTTCTTTTTTTTTTTTTTTGCACAGGTAAAATTAAGTATGATAGGAAAAATGTAAAGTACTGTGATTAAATTAGAAAATCAATTACACAGACATGGAATCTAATAGCTTGGTGGCTTGATGGTAGTTCAAATTAAAAGAATGTAATTTTGGGTGTTTTGTTGGAAAAGATGAGAATTAATCATTAGTTTGATGAGGCTGCTACTAAAGCTTTTATAATCTGAGGCTTTATGTAGATAGTATTTTATTTTAGTTGGCATAAAATATCCATAACATAACATTTACCATCTTAACTGTTTTTAAATGTCCAGTTGAGTGACATTAAGAACATTCACATTGTTGTGTAGCCATCATCACTGTCCATACCCAGAACTCTTTTCCTCTTCCAAAGTAGAAAGTCTATACCCATTAAACAACACCTCTTCATTCCTCTCTCTCTGAGTCCCTGGCAACTGCCATTCCATTTTGTCCCTATGAATTTAACTACTCTAGGTATCTCATGTATGTGGAATCGTACAATATTTCCCTTTTTTGGTGACTGGTTTGTTTCACTTTGCATAATGTTTTCAGGATTCATCCATGTTATAGCATGTGTCAGAGTTTCCTTTTTTAAGGCTGAATAAAATTCATTGTACGTAATACCACATTTTGTATTTCTTCATCAAATGGACCCTTGGGTTGCTTCTGCGTTTTGGAGATTATAATTGTGCAATGAATGTCGGTATACACATATCTGTTCAGAACTCTACATTTAATTATTTTGGATAGTATATATCTAGAAGTGGAGTTGCTGTGACATATGGTAATTTTATTTTTAATTTTTTGAGGAACCGCCATACTGTTTTCCATAGTGGCTGTACTATTTTACATTTCTACCAGCCATGCACAAGGATTCCAGTTTTTCTACATCTTTGTCAACACTTGTTATTTTCTAGTAGTTTGTTGCAACTACTTTTTGATACATTGGAGTTCCTTTTTTGCCTTTTCAGTTTTCAAATATCCAGTTAACAGTTTCTTATGTTAAATTCTTTTTGTTAAAATAATTGATGTGATTTCTATCTCCTGACTGGACCTTGACCAGTATAGAATATTTTTAGTGTATATAACTTACCATAAATATTCTTATGTGGAAGGCTTTATATTCATCCTGTTATTTTTTGCAGTCAATTTTTTATGTGGAGTTATAGAGTCAAAGTATACATTACTTTTCAAACTAGTTTTTTTTCATATTATAAAAGTTATATGCATAGTGATTCTACAACATCTTACTACGCTGATGGACAGTGACTGTAATGGGGTTTGTGGGGGGGACTTGGTGAAGGGGAGAGTCTGGTAAACATAGTGTTCTTCATGTGATTGTAGATTAATGATAACAAAATAAAAATAAATAAAAATAAGTAAATTTTAAAAAAGTTATATGCAAATAACTCATGATACAGGAAAATACTTCAAACTTGACATTACCTGCTAGGTGGCATGGTATTTTAGAATAATTTTTAGAATATATGTGTGTGCGGGGTGTGTACACGTAAGTATATATATGCCTCTTTATCTTCCTATACATATTACCTTCAAAAAGGGAGTCTTGCATTATGTACTTCTGTAATCTCCTTTTCATGTAACAGTGTATTGTGACTGCATTTTCATTTCAATAAAATGTCTGCATTAATTTTAATAGAAGCATAGTACTCCAGTTTATATATGTATTGTGATTTATTAATCAGTCTTTTACTGATATATTATTTTTAGCTTTCTGATATTATAAACAACTCTATAGTTAATACCTTTATTGTTGTACAGATTTAATTAGGATAAATTCTTTGGAGCAGAATTGCGTGGTCAGAGGTTATAGATAATTTTGTGGCTTTTGATTCATATTGCATTATTGCTTTCAAATAATTTTAACTCCAGTGTCCTTTATACAGTGGAATAACTTTAAAAATCAAAGTAATATGGGTGTATAGCTAAGAAAATTGAAAAACAGAACACAAAGCAAAGCTAATACAGAATGTATCATAAAAAGCAGGAGTTCCTGCCCTGCCTGTTCTCCACCCAGTTTTGCTTCTAGATGAATCTAAAAACACAAAGCACTCTTGTCCTTCCTTCTACCTGAATTTCAGCCCCTTTTGCCACTCATCTTTTGGAATTTGTACTCACATTTTAACATTTGTTAAAGGTGATAGTATTTATATTCTGTTCAATAATCGTAATTAAGCCTCCATATTTAATCTATAGAATGATTTTCAAATCTGGAATTTAATAAACATCATCTGTAGCATTTATATTGTGACTATGCAGATTTTATTCATTACAGAGTCAGTGTACCACAATTACATTTTGTTCTTTAATTGTGATGTCTACTGTGCCAACTTAAGAAGATTGTTTACATGGAGTCTTTTTTTCCCTTACAGTGCATCAGTGATTCAAATCATGCCACATTTCAGTTTGCTCAATATTTGGGCCATGCTTTTTGTGGTGGCCACCCTCCAAGTTGGCCACCTGTGATCCTTACCTCCCGCTCTTCCTACCTTTGTGCAATCTCTTCCCAGAAATGGGTCTCGATGACCCGTATGTAAGGCAGAAGTGATGGTATTTCTGAGATTAGGTCACAAAGGATGTGCCTTTTTCCTGTTTCTGATCTCTCTGTCTCTCTTTTACCCTGTGCTCTGAGGAATACAGGCTTTCATACTGTAAGGACACTAGCAGCCTGTGGAGAGGAACAGAGACCAACAGCCAACAGCCAGCAAGCATCCAGAATTGCACAACCATGTGAATGCACGTAGGTGCAGGTTCTCCAGTCCCAGTAGAGCCTTGAGGTGACTGCAGCTCTGGCTGACAGCTTGAGTTCAGTCTCATGAAGACATGAGCTAGAACCATCCAGCTGTTAGCCACTTTTGGATTCCTGACCCTCAGAGACTGTGTGAGAGTAATGTTTTAGGCTATTAAATGTTGGGATTGTTTGTTACACAGCAGTAACTACTTAATAGATTTTGTTACCTGGAAGTAGGACTGTTGTAACAGAAACTGTAGAGGGTGGCTTTGGAGTGCACCCTGACTTTGAGGAGCGTATTAGTAGTAAGGGCCTCCAGTGTTTTGAAGAAGCTATTAACAGAAGCATCATGATCTTTGATGTGACTGTAGATGAGAGTTTACAGGAAAATTAGGTAAATTTTGTTAGAAACTTGAGGAAGGGGAAGGATCCTTATGTGGTTGCAGAAAGTTTAGCAACATTGTTGCCTGCAGCTGTGTGGGAAGTAGGAAATAGACCAAATGGAACAGTGTAGTCTAGCTAAGGAGACTTCCTGGCCAGAGTGTTGGAAATTGTATGGTGAGCTTTCTTCTTGCTGATTATTAGTAAAATGTGAGAGGAGAGAGACATTAAAACACTAAAGGAAGGATTATTTTTTTGTGGCTTAAAACAACAAAATTAATTTTTGCATATTTC